TAGGTGGCGATTTTTTTTTTTAAGGATAATTTTCAAATTTTCATTCCATGTTGGAGAAGTGTAGGGTTTATAAACAAGTTAACAATGTGATTGTGTTTATAAAGTTGTATTTAATAGTAGCAGTATTTATAAAGTAGAAAATGTACCTTGTGTAAAAATGGCAACTTTGATTCTAAGGCTATTCTTATGTTTCCCTCTTATGTAAAAATTCACTTCCTTATCTCTTTTCATTTTACTCACTTGGACACCTCAGTTTAATTTTTTCTTCCTATAACTTGTTAGGTCTCCTGACCATCTTTTGGATGATCTAACCAATTTGGGAAATTATAGAAAGAGAAAAACACAGTGCTTTTTCAAGTGATAAAATATGAAAATAAACCGTACTCTCTGTAGTGGCTAGCTTTATATTCTTCATCTTTATAAGTTATTCTTGTCTACAAGATAGCACCGCATATTGTATAAAGTATAAATGCTGCCCATTTATACTTTACATCCAATTTAATAGTTACATTCTGGCTTCAATTAAGCTCTTTCTCCTATAAATCTCAGCAAGAGGATCTGATTAATAGAAGAAATGAGCACCCAACACTGTTAGTGTAAAGATATTAAACAGATGAAGCAAAGTAAAAGTCTTAAGCAGCTAGAGTACTGGCTGTATCTGGTCCCGTCTGACCCAGCCATTTTGGCTTAAAGAACTTTACTCCATTTTTCTTTTGTAGTAAGTGAAGGTGCATCACCTTTTTGAAGAGTTATTTGTACTTTTCCCCTTACCTTACCTTCTTACTTTGTGAATTATGGGTTTACAAAGGCTATATACATTTGGCTCTATAGTTAATTAGGGAGAACCTGAAGTTTCTCATATGACTGTTTTGAAAAAGAGAGCATTCCTAGGAATAGGAATTTTGGAAGTGTAGGCCAGATAAACTTCGTAGGAGGAACGCTCAAACAAAAATATTACTGGTTAGATCCAGAAAAATGCCTCAACTTCTCATCTGTCTTCAAAACAGAATAAAAATCCCAATGTAGGAGGAAAAAAGATGAAAGAATGAAGAGAAAAAGAAACAACCCAAGTCCTACATTCTATATTCTCTAATTTTATTGGAATAGTGTTACAGCTGGGTGCTCTATGTATTTTATTCTTTTAGCAATTTTCCTATTAGCATGATGTTCTTGAGTCTTCGTATTTAGAATCGTTATTCAGAAAAAAATTTGAAACCAGAGAAGTTTTGATTATCTACATTTTCACCTTTTTGCGAAGCAAATAAGGTAAGCTTAGTAGACACTAGCTAGGCTGAAATGCTATTAAAAAAATGCAATTCAGACTGAGTCACTGTTCATTATTTTTAAACGAGACCCTAATTCTGATCGACCCCAAAGAATGGGCTGCCGTGACTAAGCAAGCAGCATAAGGCAACTGGCTTCTGCGGATGTTATCTCATTTGGAACACATTTCAAACTTTAGAACAGATTTTTAAATTAGAAGTTGAAACCTGCAGACTGTTAGAAGAAGCTGATTCACTCCCATAGAACTTATCTTACTTTAAGTAACTGAGTTTTTTAAGAAGTAGGTTACCTAAAATGTGTTGTGATATATCAAAGAGAAATAACATAGCCTTACAAACAAAAAACACCTCCTAGAAAAAGGGTGACATTTGCATCTAAACAGTTTTTGGACTTTTAATATATGCATATTTGAATGGGGACTTCTTTAAATTGGAAGCCTTGTTTAGTACAACTTGTGAATGCTCATGGGTCTGTGAAAGGTTAAATTTTTTTCTGCAAGTATTTCTCTAGTGGCGGGGGTTCTTCACGTGGAACTTTTTGAGTTATAGCTAAAATGCCTATTATTATCGGGTAAATGTGAATGAAGGAAGTACAGTCTTGGTAAGGTCAGAAATAAGGAAAATCTTATATTGATGGTGGTAAAATTCTTATTAGTTGGCTATTGCTTTTATTTGGAATCATAGATAAGTTACCATAAGTCTGGATTCCCAGAAAACTATGCAGATATTCTTGAGTTCCTTAAATTAGAGGAACTATACAACTAGTTTGCTATTGCTTTTATTTGGAATCATAGATAAGTTACCATAAGTCTGGATTCCCAGAAAACTATGCAGATATTCTTGAGTTCCTTAAATTAGAGGAACTATACAACTGATAGCAATAATAATGATTTTGACCTAGCTTGAATGTCAAGATAGAAAAAATTAGAAAATACAAACTTGTCTGTGAAAAAAAAAAAAAAGCTGTCATGTGCTTATTATCTTAGACAACAAAATCCTTGATGCAACTGAACTACAGGGAGAAATGCATGAAGTGACTGACCCGCTAGAGGTCCCTTCCAACTAAAAAAAGTTTCGACAGTTCAAAAGAGTAAGTTGCCTTAGTAAGTTGGCATTTATGATTGCAAAGCAAGTAAGGGCCAGAAGGGGGGACCACATGTTTCACTTCCTCGGGAAGATACATTGTTTTATTCAGAATATCACATTTTATCTCTTTTTTATTCCTATATGGGACAGTCACTCAATTAGCTCTAATTAGATATTAAGAACTTGTTCTAAGTTATTGAAGCATTTGCAATAAGAAAGTATCATTTGATGGTCTGGAACGGTAGTTGTGTCTTCTACAAATTTTAGTTAGCTGTTTCAGGTATTTCAGAGCAGTATTTTGCAAGATAAGTTTTTTTTCATAAAAAGGAAGAGTGCCTCAGAGTAAGTTTTTACTTGTAAAACTGATGAAAGTGGTGGGTGGAGGAGGTAAAATACATATTTTCTGATAGTAGGCAACTTGGTAGAAAATGATTTTGTTTCTATATATTATCTTTACAGAGTTAGCATTAAGAAATGTAATTGCAGTAAATTGATGTAAAAGCCAGATAGTAAAGGGACTAAAAGTCCCTGTGGAGCCACCAGTCAGTCACTTACTTATAATGGCAGCAAAAGATAATTGTAGACGTATAGTAGAACCAAACCATTGCCATTTTCCTTCAAAAATGTGCTTCTGCTGCTCATGCTTTTTTGCAGAAATTGGTTATTTCCTCTGCTTCGAAAGTATGCCATGAACTATCAAAATAGGTAGAAAAGATCTGCTTTTTATTTTCCCCCCAATACCTTTTTAATTAGAACACACCAAAGAGCAAAAATGGGTGAGATGTAATTCTGTGTGATTGTATTTTCCAGTAAATTGTTGGGTTTCTTTTAAGTTTTCAGGCTCTGTATTGAAAATCTGGCTTTTGGCATAAACTTTGCCCTCTTCCTTATGAGGTAATGAAGATATCTGCTTGATCATACCCCCTTCCTTCACACAATTTGTTTTCCGGCTCTCTAAAACAGCAAATACAGAGCCATGCGAGTGCTATTATGCTAAGGGTGATGCTCGAGCTAAAATGGAAGAGATTTTTTTCTCCTAAAGTAGAATCCTAAAGGTTTTTCTTTCCAGGTAAAGGCATTATCAAGAAAAGAAAAGAAATCAGCAATCCTGGGCCACCATTTGCATAAGCATGTTTGCTTTTCATTTTCAGAGTTGTGCGCTAACTAGGCACATATCCCTGTGTTCCTTTTCCAACACATGGAGGAGTTTGCACGTCCTGGGTAATGAACACTCAGGAAGCCCATAGTTTGCATGCGCACCCCTCCAGAGCAGCCATACATGTAAGCACCAGCTAGTCCAGCAACATTCTTATAGGAAAAACCTCTTTTTTGCCCACATTATGTACTTCAGTAAGTGAAAGTGAAGATTGGAAGAGACATGGGCTCGATACACCTCATTAGTGAGAATATTATAATTAAAATGTCTTTACAAAAAAAAATGAGAGAGGGATAGAGAAATGTGTGGCTATTCCAGATGATTAAACTTCTTGGTTCTTAAATGTTCTCAGTAGTTAACTCCGGTGAACAGCTCCTTGCACTAAAGGGGACCTGCATGTAACTCCCCATAAAATATGGATTTTATTGCAGCAGTGACAACACTTCTCAGCGCCACGCTGACCTCTCCAGCATCTCCCACCTCAAGATCTCTGATAACTCTTAGCAGAATATCTAACTACGGAAGAAGTAATCCCAGCTCAGCAACTGCTGCAGTACACAACATTGCAATGTCCCTTTTTATTAAACTCGGGATTAACACATTGAGGGCTTCACTTTTCCTGCATCGGACATCTAACACCAGGCGCACTGGCTCTGCTTTTCAGTCCGTGGAGGCATTATACGCCAGCTTTGTGCCTGGCCAGCCATGAGAGCACGAGCAAGCTGTGTTTTCCACATGACTTTTCCCTGGACAGTGTGCTCCATTTTTGGAGTCCAGTGTAAGACTTTCCTTGCAACCTAAGCATTTCTGTCCTATGCGAGCTGGCAGGCATTGCCCCGAACGAGCGAGCTAACAGTTTTCTTTAGCTCCTTCTCTGAGCCAAATCATCTCTTTACCTTAAGTTTTCCTTATTGGGAACATTCAGGAGTTTTCAAGCTACCCGATTTACTGCTTTACTCCAAAGCCAAGAAACGTAACTCAGCCAAAACAGTCCTCGCATAGACCCTTATGCTATGGGCAGGTGAAAATAAATCAAGCCCCAAACAGCTCCGCGGGTCCCCTGTGCACACCAGCGCCCTTGGTAATTAACCAGCCAACTTTGCAAATGCCGGCGCTCCCCTAGCAGACTCTGCCAGCGGAGAGAAAGGCAGCGAGTTCTTCCCGGCCGCCCCGTTGCATATGCCCCCAGCCAGCCCCACCGTGGATCAGCCTTACCAGAAGGCGGAGGAGCTGCGCCCAGGCTCCCCGGGAAGCAGCGCCCGTCTTGGGCAGCGGCAGCAGCACTGCCGGCGTAGCCAGACCCACGCGCCCGCCAGGACCCAGGCTTGCAAGCCTCCCTCCCAACTCCAGCGTGCGGCACCCACCGGGCGGAGAGGGCTCTCTCGCTGATTGGCTTCCATCGAAGCTACAGAATTAAAAATCAGAAAAGGCATGCACAAACCACTACCACCGCCGCAGAAAGAGACTGAACCCACCTCTGCTTGCCTTCCTGCTCCCGGGGAGACCCTGCCACCCGCTCAGGCTGCTCGTGCCTCCTCCGCTGTGCTTGCCTGCTCTGCGGTTCTTGCTGCCGCGGCTGAAACTGCAGCTCTTGGGATGGGAAGGTTATGGGGCTTGGGAGAGCTGGCTCTTGTGGGCACACACTGATTTGCAAGTGAATGAAGTGGGAGGGAGCAAAGAGAGGAGGACTTTGTTAGAGAGGCCCAGTGCCTGCCCCCACCCGCCCCCTCCCCTTGACAGAATGACTCCCTGTGTTTGAAGTCCTGAGCAATTCGCTCCTTGTAACGCTCCCTCAGCCCTAGGCTTCTCTTTATTTTCCTTTATTATTTTTTGGGGGGTTAAGACACACGCAGAACTTATGTGACTCCGTCTGTTATCTCTTTTATACTATCAAAAGGCTCACTGTGCTATTAGCAGCAAGGGTCTGATTTTTTTTTTTTTTTTAGCGACTGAGCATTTGCAATTCCCAGGGACACAGTTCCTCCTCTATCAGTTGGCCAGCTTCGTGTTATAGCATGCATAACATGCAGACATATAAAACAAACCCAGTCTCCTGAGATAACAGTACCGGTGGCTTTTCTTTACAACATAAACAGGCGTTCTCCAGACGCAAGCAGACATAGATTCAGAAGTGTCTTTCCTTCTCTTCTGCCAGGAAGACAGGTTTTTACATAGTCCTGTGATCTCTGTTACTCTTTCAGAGTGAGCAACCTCAGGATGTTGTAGCATGAAGACATGCTTTCCTGTGTTTATAGATACAAATGCAACCTAGACACCCTTCAGGCTTACCATGACTTATGGCTGATTCTATCTTTCTAAGTGAGTTAATACAAGGATACAAAAGACTTACAGAAGAGGTGTATAATGACAAGGTCTGCTAAACGGTTTACGATCTTTCAGAAAAGTTCTTGAAGTAGGATAAATTAAACTCTGGCACATATAGCAGTTTGAGTAGCTATATTTACAGTTATAAAAAAGTAATTTGTAATATTAGGAAACTAAGCTGCAAAAATCTTAAACATGTCAAAGTATTATTAAATGAGAGTAATGGTTTTCTGCATAGGAGATGTAGACATGATGGAGTCAAGCACAGTTGGATTCGGAAAATTAAATCTAATTACGGCAGTGATTGCACCAGGGGTCAGCAGAATCCCAAACCAGCTGTTTGTGTCTGCTTCAAGTTCATGGGGAGGTCTCCATTGCATGGTGCTCTAAAACAAATTCCAGGCTACTTTGGCCTCTGAGTGGTTAAATTGGTTGGAGGTTGGTCTCCTTCCCAACTGAGCTCTTACTAGAAAATCTTTTGTTTCTCTAACAGAAGTTCAGGCATTTAAATAAAGCCCAAATCAAAGTATTTCCTCTAGGCAGTCAGTGCTTCAAAGAAGTGTGCATGGAATGGTTTTAGCACAGATGTTCTACACATGGAAGATGGAAAGAATTTGAGTTTCTTTCTTGAAAAGACCTTTCCCTAATGAAGAATTGCCACCAACTTACAAAAAGAGGCTGAACATATTTTCATGCAGCTCTTTAAACTCTTGTGGAGGAAGAATAGGCAGAAAAAGCTGCTTTTCATTCATAGTCCATTCCTCAGATTACGAATTTTTTATGCATTTAATTGGAAATACTAGCTCCTTAATGTTTGAATAGTCCTTTACTACTTACAGCATACTTTCATAGATATTTTCTTCAGTTCTTCTTACAACAAACAGTGAGATATTTTCCCCCTGTAAGAACAGAGGAAACAGATTGATGAAGAGATGGCATAGGTTAAATAAGACGTGAAACGCAACAAACCTGGGAAGCAGAAGAGGCAGAAATATTACTGATAAAACTGTGTGCAGGTGTGTGTGTGTGAATAGATATAATCATATAATTTATATTATATAATTCTAAGTATGCCAATAAAATAGTATTTTAAGATTACCTTTTATAGAAAGATATGCAAATTGATTTTTATGGTCAAAATGGGATAATAGTGAAGTTGATATTCTACCTATTGAACTAGTTAATATCTCACAAAGGAAATCTCTAATTGTTTGCAATATACTATTCTTCAAACTCCGTTAAACCACATATCGAAGGTGATTAAAACAACTACTTTTTGTTAAGAATGGATAAACAATCAATTTGCTTCTAACAGTTCAAGTGGCAGCACTAAATTACATAAAAGATAGTACTTTTATACTAAAAAAAGTTTTTTTGTGTAATTTTTGTGTAATTTCTAGTAACATGTACCACAATAATTATTAATTTTTATTTCTATAATTGATGTAAATATCCAGAATTATTTTATTAGTTTAGAGATAAAGAACTGAGCATTACTAAGGTTAAATGATTACCTGGTATCGTATCAGTACTGTTCCAGTTCATCATCTGGCACACCAAAACATGCTGGCAAGTCACAGAAGATAATTAGAGATAGTTAAACAAACGATGGGGTCTTTGCTACCATCATGTAGCGTCTTCTCATGAAACTCGAGTGGAAATTCTTCAGGGCCTCCAGAAAGACCTGGAAGCAGGCACCAAGAAGCCACCAGCAGACTGCCTGTGGTGCTACTTCTCTTTACTAGGCTTCTGCTTCTGTTTTGTCTACCTTCACACCTACTTCCTCTGTCTCTAAGTCCCCAGGGCAAAGCAGCATCATCCACAGTTCCAGAGATCACCTGTTGGAAATGAGTTTCTCTTTCTGCTACACTGCTAGTTTCTTTGAAAGCAGCTCTGATTAGTCAGGTGTTCCCCGGGACCTATCTGCTGAGGCAGGAGGAGGCAGCAGGGTTACCTACATACTGGCTCCTCTAGGACCAAAAGGAGGGGCATCCGCTAGGGAGTGTCCTCGTGACCTGAAAAGATATTTCAAAGAGGGTGCCATTCTATATATCTTCTTGTTTTGTTTTGTAATTTGGTAGAGCTGAAGCATCTCATCACCAGTTTTTAGGCTACTTCATTATTTTATATGCTTCCGTAAAAATTACTTGTACTTCTCTCTTTTTATAGCTTGCAAAGTCAATAAAAAAAAACTCCTTCATAGACCATTACTAGGGATATTAATTTTGATGAGGGATTTTTCAACTTCCACTAAATCTCTCTTCAGATGATTAAGAGGCTATCTTATCCTTATAATGGGGATGCATATAAATAAATAATTGCAAGTTCTCTGACTTTATTTTCAATAGTATACATCTGTATGCAATGATTACCTGATAAAAACATTTTCATGATCATCAACAATTATTCTTGATTAGAAGAAAAAGTTCACTTTTAAAACCATGTGCCTAATTAAGAATCTTGGCATGGCTGGTTTTGATTCAACCAGTTCAAATCTTTCATCTAAAATTTACACTTAAATTTGTTGCCAGAAAAAGTGCACACACTACAATGTTTATTACTAAATTGTCATGGATGTGCACAAGTGGACAAATTTTACTGAGGAATGCGTGCCTGTTCCCCACCTCCGTCCTCTGTGCGTGTGTACATGTGTGATATGCACTCACAGGCATACATACACACACACACACATATGCACATACCAATGCTTAAGGAGGAAAAGAATTTTAACTACTCTAGATATTATTGAACTGAAACAAAGGAAACAAAGGAGATGGGAAACCTCGATGGAATTCCACTTTTGTGAGAGCCGTAGACATCTCAATACAAGCTAAAATAAATCCACAAACTTTGTGTGCTCATCCAGGTTTTCTAATCCTGGGAGAGTTTCCAATACTGTATTTAAAAATGGGTTGGATCCCAGGATGCATTAAGACATTTACCTCTCGGTCATTATATTTGACTCATCACTATAGGGAGATTCAAATAGCCAGGAGATTTCCAAATTAGATAAACACACAGCACCAAAATGTTATTGACTTACACAGCATTTTAGTACTCTGGGCATTTCAGAATAGGTAGAGTAGACTTCAATTTTTGCTGAATTCTTTTTTATTCACTGCTTTGTGGTAGAATCTAAATTTGCCCGATCAGGTATGTACAACTCAAATTTGGTGGACTGTACTGTGCCAGTGAAGAAGCATGTTCTGTGTTTGGAAGAAATAGCTCATCAAGAGGATATGCAATATGTTAGTATATTCTTTTAAATAACTGATATGGACCAGAATAATCAGAATACTCTACACTTCCATTCAGAGAGAAAAATATGCCCTTTATTCCACTAAACTCCCTCCCACTTGTAGAAGCACTTGATAGGAATAGCGGTGGGCTGGAGCGGGAGAGACAATATAATAGCACATGTTCAAAAATATTTTGGGATTTTATAGATTATGAGAGCAAAAAAATTTCACAAATTTTTTTCAGAAAGAAGACAAAGAGGAAGACAAGAAGGAAAGAAGATTATTCTCTGTATAGGTGTAAGTATTTCTTTAAGATAGACCAGACCCCACCTAGAGCCCTCTGTTCCTCCTTAGGTACTGTACTTAAATAGTCTTCTCTCTCTTGGCCCCTCCTCTTGTGTTTCCATTGCTTTTTGTAAAATACCATCTTTATCTAGACCTCATTGTTTACATGTTCTTTTTCATCTGTTAGACTGTATATTCATTGAATTATTGAAGGTAGAGCATTTATCTGTTTGGTCATCATTTTATCTCATAGTGCCTAAAGAAGTGCTTAGTGCTTACATGTATAAATAAATAGAGATTCACATAAACTATAATGTATTCATTAGACAGAAACTGGAGATGGCTCATAGATATGAGATCATACTTATAAGCTAAAGACAGTAAGACTGGAAAAGAGAAGGTTCAAGTTGGCCATAAGCACTCTTCAAATACTTGAGGAACTGTCCTATGGAAGAAATTAGACTGGCTTCTAATGGGATGGATGCTTCAATTAATATCAGCTGGTGAAGCCACTGGAAGATACTGTATTTCTTTGATTCAGAGATACTCAGATTTTCATATTTTCACATCTCTGAAATTTCGATGCCTTTTACAATTGATATGATAAGAAAGCATCATGTCATGTTATAATTGGCAGTGTCTCTTAGTGACATATAGAGTAGTGGTGCAACTTACTACCATTGGCTTCTTAGATCTGATGACAGGCAGATGGTAGATTTCAGCTCAACATATGGAGGAATTTTCAAGCTATTAGTGCTATTCAAGATGAAAGGTACTGGCAGCTTCAGGATAGACATGAGTTCCATCCCTGAAGGC